AAAGCAAAGATAACCCTTCCGCACAAATGATAAACAAGTAAGGAGACAAGGGGTCCCCCTGCCGTAACCCTCTCGTAGGCACAATCTCCTCCGAAGGCCTACCATTTACCAAAACCCTATAACGCACTGAACCCATTTTGCATCAAAGCCCAAACCCGTTAGCATATCCCTCACAAAAGACCACTACATCCTATCATACGCCTTGGCCATGTCAAGCTTTAACGCGGCCCACCCCACCTGCCTTAGCTGTTTCCCCCTCAAATAATGGCCAACCTTAGAAGCAATAAGGATATTGTCCGAGATTAACCTTCCTGGGAGAAATTCACTTTGTGACTCCGAAATAATACCTTCTAACAAAGGCTTCATACGGTTAGCTACCATCTTAGCCATAACCTTGTACAACACATTGCACAAAGCAATCGGTCGTAGATCAGACACATGCTCAGGAACACATTTCTTTGGGATCAAGACAATATTTGCATCATTCAAACATGCAGGGAAAGATGACTGTGAAAGACAATTAAGCACAAAAGAAGTGACATCCTTACCAATAACATCCCATAATGATTGGTAAAAACCAGGGTTCATGCCATCCGGTCCAGGAGATTTATCTTTGCCCATAGAGAATAGTGCACTTCGGACCTCCTCCGACTCAAAAGGACGTAACAGATGAAAATTCTGGGCCTCGGTCACACGCGGCTGCATAGAATCCACACTAAAAGGCCCCGGACTCCCCCCAGAAGCAAAAATCTATTTATGATATGTGGTGACCAGAGAATCCAAGGCTTGACCCTCCTTCCAGACCCCATTATCATCCTTCAACTTCACAATTACATTCTTCTTCCTCCGGTGTGACGCGTACTTATGAAAGAACTTGGTATTCCGATCTGCCCCCTTAAGCCAGTGCTGCTTAGCACGTTGTCTCCAGAAAGCCTCCTCTTGGGATAGAATTAGAATTAGACAATTATCAAGATGCGCAAACTGGGCTAACGAAACAAGATCCCGGCAACCCCGCAATGCATTCATCTCCTTTCTCAACTCAACAATCCGTTTCCCAAACTTGTGATGCCCGTCACCACCCCACGATTTCAGCCCCTTACCACACAGATCAAGCCTAGCCTGCAAATTCAACCCCTGTGAACTGGCTCATTCCTGCTCCACAACCCCCCTACACCCCTCATCCAACAGCCACACGTTCTCAAAGCGAAAACCACGCGGCCGAGTAGCATGCACCGACCCATATATATCCAGAAAAAGAGCCGAATGATCTGACGAGTCTGTACGAATGTTATACAACCTCGCCCTATCATAACAACCCAGCCAATCCATACAAGCCACCACCCTGTCTAGCCGCTCCTCCACCCAGTCCACAGTACCCTTACCACGCTCCAATGTAAAAGGATAACCAATCATAGGAAGAGATAACAAACCACAATCCTCCAGGGCCTCACTGAAACCCTCAATCAAACCATTCGGGTGTGGTAACCTTCCCCTCTTCTCCAACTGAGCCATAAGTCATTAAAATCCCCCAATACTACCCAAGGAAACTAGAAGCCCCCTTAAGTGATCTCAAGAAGTCCCATGCAGCCCTCCTTCTGTTCCTCTGAGCAAAACCATAATAACACGTAAGCCGCCATTGCGGCCTCCCTGGAAGAGACACCACAAGGTCAATATGATTATTAGAATAATTGATCAAGCTAGCGTAATTGTTCTTTGCCCATAAAAAACATAATCCCCCCTACGGCTGTCACTGTCAACCTTGAAACACCCCTCAAACCCCAATTTTACACGGAGCCTCTCAGAGTGATTCCCATCTACCATCGTCTCCATAAAAAACACAAAATCCGACTTCCTTTTGGACACTAAGTCCTCAACTTCTCGAACCGTCCGTGGATTGCCCAAGCCACGGTAGTTCCAAAATAAAGTACTCATTGAGAGCGGCGGGCCTGGTCCCCAGGTCCCACCAAACGAGAAGAAATAGTATCCACCTGCATATCCCTGCCCACCCCCACCACTCCACCATCCGCACCCCTACGCCGTTTCGGATCCACCCGTACACCCAACTCCACCCCCGCCCCATCTCCCGGCAACTCAACTGCCGTACCCTCCAGCCTGTTTCCGGCTCCCCCACGCGACACATCACACCCCACAGCCCCAACAACCCCCACTGCCGGGACACCGCCAACCGGAGCACCGCCATAACCAATCTCGCGGCGACGTTCTTGCCCAAGGTGGAACCACCTATCCCCCAAAACCTTTGCCGGATTCATGCCCCCAGCCTTCAACGCCGGCCCATACAAATACTGATCAGGCGTCATCGGTGAACGCCTTGCCTCCAAGCAGAACTTGTCAGTATGACCCAGCCTTCCACAAAAGTAACAAAACATATGCAAGCGCTCATATTTAAAATTAATCCAAGCCCACGAGCCATCCCGAAGAATCATCTTCATACGGCGCTTTAACGGCATAGCAACATCATGCCTCACCCGCACTCTATAAAACGTAGACTATGGCCTGACAAAATTGCGTTCGTCAACCCGCAGGTATACCCCAACAAAATCCCCAACCTTCTCCAACACCTTCTCCGTGCGATAACCAATTGGCAAATCAAAAACTTGTACCCATAAATCAACCGAATTCAAGATTACCTGCGTCGGGTGCTCATCGCCATGCAGGGGTTGGCAGATTAAAGTTGCGTTCTCAAAGGCCCACGGCCCCTCCTCCAACACACGACGCATGTCCGCTTCATCAAAGAAAGTGAATAGAAACAAATTAGGCTGCACATCCGCCACCTCAATTCCCATTAATGGACGCCATGCAGATGCAAGAACCCGCTTCATCATCTTGTTCTTGATGCTCCGATCCGTCAAGAACCGACCTACTATCGACCAAGTCTGCTGCACCGGCATGTGATCAAGGCCGCCCGTAGGCTCATCCTCGAACCGGACGCCCAGGTCCTCCTCCTCCAACGTGATGTCACATTCATTATCATCTTATTTTACTTATTACTATCTTTTATATTTTCTACTTACTTTACTTATTTAAACATAATTTATTTGCTTACACTTTAAAGTTAGACATTATTTACATTATCAAAATTAAAAATTAAGAATTAAACTCTATATAATGTTTTAGATTTTGATTGAACTCAATAGATTATTAGTTCAAATATTTTTAATTATGTTACATCATAATACAAGTTCGGTCCAAATATCGGATATTGAAATCTCATATACATTAGAATTCAAAGTAAAAGTTATATATTCATATACATGTCATTCAAAGGAATATATCCAAAAAATATATTTTAAATATTAGCTCAAAAATGTTAATATTATCTAAACTAAATTTTAGGTGAAAACTGAAAAATTAGAAAACAGAGAATAATTTTCTGTTAGTAAACAAGTTTTCTAAATAGAAAACAGAGAATGAAAACTGAAAAATTAAAAAACAGAAAACAGAGAATAGTTTCCTGTTGTTAAGCGGACCCTTAATTGGTTAAAAAAAATGGTCAAGGATTAAATTGATAATTTCACTATAGTCAAGGGATCATTTTGATAATTAACTCAAAATAGAATTAGTTTTTTCTTCTCCCAATAGAATTAGTGTTTTGTTGACCGCATAACCGACATTCAGTACCGCGTGATTGTCACGTTTGCTTCATCTGAAAGGCCTCTCAGACCTATAAATACCCCTGTCCTTAACTGTCTTCTTCGATCGCGTTCTAATCTGAATATCTGATTCGCAATGTCTCAAGCCTCTCTCATATTCTAGAAGGTTTCGGATAGCTATTTCAGATTCAGAGTCATGGATTGGTTTGATTAATTAGTGTTTAGTTATCATATGCTTGATTTGCTGGAAATTTGGTTTCTGTGTTTATCGGATGCCAAACATGTCTATTTCCAATTACTCATGTTCGTTGGATGCCTTTCATGTTGATGTAGCTCAGATCGTGGATTTGATGTCAAGTAACAGGGATTCGGATTTGTTCTAGTTGAACGAAATAGATCGGTTTGATCAATACGCGTTCAGTTATCCTATGCCTGATTTTCTGGAAATTTAGTGTTTATATTGATTGGTTGGTTAAGATGTCTGTTTTTGATTAGTTATTGTTGGTATGTCTGTCATGACTTGATGTGATTCGGATTCGATTTCAGCGGCGAGTCGGATTTCTTTTGGTTGAGAGCCGAGAGGCATGGATCCGTTTGACAATACGTGTTTGGTTAACCTATGCTTGATTTTCTGTAAATTTTGGTTTCTGTCTTGATCGGTTGACAAAGACCAGTTACTCATGCTCGTCTGTATGTCTTGTTATGTTGATGTAGCTCAGATCGTGGATTTGATCTCAAGTGAAAGATTTTGGACTTGTTCAAGTTTAACAAATATGTTGGTTTGATTTCTACGCCTTCAGTTATCCTATGCTTGGTTTTTTGGAACTTCTCATATATATATTGATCAGTTGCTAAACATCTGATTTGGATTATTTATTGTTCGTATGTCTTTCATGACATGGTTTAGTTTGGATTGTGGATTTGATCTTAGCACCAAGCTTTTGGATTTCTTTGGGTTGAACATGGAGTTGGTTTGATTAATTTGTATTTGGTTACCCTGTGCTTTATTTTCTAGATATTTTGGTTCGTCTTGATGAGGTGCAAAGATTTCTTCTATCATCTATGTTCGTCTATATGTCTTGTCTAGTTGATGTAGCTCAGATTGTGGATTGGATGCGAACTGCAAGGTTTTGGATTCATTCGGGCTGAAATTAGTTTGATCAATGCTCTTTTCAGCTATCCTATGCTTGATTTTCTTGAAAATTTCTGTTTAATTTTACTCCATTTGCACATTATTATTCTCTATAGGTCTGTCATCAATTGAAGTTATTGTTTGTTAATCATGGATTATGTTTGTAAATCTTTTCTTGTTGATGTAGATTAGATTGTGGATTTGATTCCATGTGCAATGAAACAGAATGGTTTGATCAATACACTCAGTTATCCTAGGCTTGGTTTTGATTTCCCAAAATTTCTTCACTCTTTTACTGTATGTATAATTTAGTAAAATCCTAATTCTTCCTTTATATTTACTCTTCTGCATAATTGCAGGTCTAGATGTGTTGTGTTAGAAGGGTCAGTTCAGTACATCTTCCAATTGTGAAAATTTTGGTTTAGTTGTGTTTTTTTTTTTGTTTTGTTTTGGTTTTTTTTTTTTTTTTTTTTTTTTTTTTTTGGGTGCTTTTGCCCATTCCTCCCCTCACTAGTTGAGTAGACATATCATTGTTTGTTTACTCTTTAACTTTTTGGGTTTCTTTGCTCTTGATGTTCTTTTTAGGTTTAATCCAGGATTGTGTGGTTGATTAAGCTAGTTCCTAGAGGAGGGAGCCAGTCCATTCAGAGTTGTATGATGATCATTAGTGGTGTGTTTTATTTTTTATTTTTATTTTTTATTTTTTTAATATAATGAGTTCAGTTTGATTCATGAATGCCTGGTTATCTATCATTCATCGAATAATCAGTTAAATATTTGTACCTTTGGCCATATTAGTGCTCGGGTTCTTTTCTGGCTTGATGTTCTTTTGAGGTGTAGTTCAACTTGGGGGGTGCACAATGGACTGCAGGTCTGCAGCAGGGATCATTGACCTGTTTGGTTTAGAACTGTTTTGTCAAACTTCTCCGATTCTTCGATGCTCTCATTCTCATAATTCTTCCCAACGTTGATGAATTTTGTAATATGTGGTTCACAGGTTAGCAAGAGGTTTAATGAATGAAATAGATTGGTGATTGATAAGATACAGCTATTTATTTTCTTGAAAGTTTGCATTTATATTGATTGGTTGCTTAAGATTTTTGTTTCCAATTTTTATTGTTTGTATGTCTGTCATGACTTGATGTAGTTTGGATCGTGGATTCGAATTCAACTGCTGCTTTTGGATGCCTTTTGGTTCAATGACATGGATCAATTTGATTATACTTGTTTGGTTATCTTGTGCTCAGTTCTCTATAAATTTTGGTATACATCTTGGTCGGTTGCTGAAGATGACTATTTCCAGTTACTTATGCTCGTCTGTATGTGTTGTAATGTTGATGTAGCTCAGATCGTGGATTTGATATCAAGTTCAAGGCTCCGGATCTGTTCTAGTTGAGCAAATAGATTGGTTTGATCATTAAGCGTTCAGTTATCCTATTCTTGGTTTTCTGGAAATTTTGAGTTTATATATTGATCGGCGACTTTCAATTTCTCCTTCCAATTATGTATTGCTGGTTTGTCTGTCATGGTGTAATGTAGTTTGGATCGCGGATTTGGTTTCAGCAGCAATCTTTTGGGTTGAACGACGTGAAATTGGTTTTCTATTCCTTCACTCATCGGCATGCTTGCTTGAATGATGTGGATTGGTTTGGCAAGCTTTCGGATTTCCCTTCACTAGTAGACACATTTAATTTCTCTTTCCGATTATGTATTGCTGGTTTGTCTGTCATGTCTTGATGTAGTTTGGATCACAGATTTGGTTTTAGCTGCAAGCTTTCGTGTTGAACAACGTGGATTGGTTTGACAAGCTTGTTTTATTCCTTCATCACTCATCAGCATGCTTGGTTGAATGATGTGGATCGGTTTGGCAAACTTTCCGATTTCCGTTCACTAGTAGACCATTTAATATTTTATTAGATTTAATTTTGTGTGTCGTTCATTAATCCAATGCTAAGAGGTGCCATGTAGAGCAGCCCTGTGATGATCATTAGTGGTTTTATCAAGCTTGGTTCTATTCCTTCTAAAATTTTGTCCATGTAATTTTTGGTTGTGATTTGCAAAATTTTATCCACTCTTTTACTATGTATTAATTTACTATTGTTCTGCATATTGCAGGTCTAGATGTATTGTGTGGTCAGATCTGGACATCTTCCATTTGTGAAAATTTTGGTTTGGTTGTGGTTTAATTATTATTATTATTATTATTTTGGGTGCTTTTTCCCTTTCTCCTTCACTAGTGGATATATCATTGTTTGTTTACTCTTAATTATTCGGGGTTTCTTTGCGATTGATGTCCTTTTTAGGTTTAACCCAAGATTGTGTGGCTGATTAACCTAATTCCTAGAGGCAGCATATAGAGCCAGTCCCCATTCAGTCATTTGATGATCATTAGTGGCGTGCCTTGTTTATCCAAAGTTCAGTTTGATGCATCAATGCCCGGTTATCTCATTCATCAAATAATCAGTTAAATATTTGTACCTTTGGCCATATTAATGCTCGGACTCGTTTCTGGCTTGATGTTCTTTTGTGGTGTAGTTCAACTTGGGGGGTGCACAATGGACTGCAGCAGGGGGTCATTGACCTATTTGGTTTGGAAGTGTTTTGTCAAACTTATCTGGATTTTCAATGCTTCTCATAGTTCTTCCCAACTTTGATGAATTTTGTAATATTGTGTCTCACAGGTTAGCAAGAGGTCTAACGAACGTAATTGATCGGTTTGATTGATACGATAAGTTATCATATGCCTGATTTTCTTTAGAGTTCGTGTTTATATTGATCTGTTGCTTAAGATTTCTGTTTCCGATTATTTATCGTTGGTTTGTCTGTCATGACTTGATGTAGTTCGGATCGTGGATTCGATTTCTATTGTTGCTTTTGGATGTCTTTAGGTTGAGTGACATGTGGATCGATTTGATAATACGTGTTTGGTTATCTTATGCTTGGTTCTCTATAAATTTTGGTCGGTTGCTGAAGATGCCCATTTCCAGTTACTTATGCTCTGTATGTATGTGTTGTAATGTTGATGTAGCTTAGATCGTGGATTTGGTATCAAGTTCAAGGCTCTGGATATGTTTTAGTTGTGCGAATAGATCGGTTTGATCATTACTTGTTCAGTTATCCTATTCTCAATTTTGAGTTTATATTTACCGATGGCTTTCAATTTCTCTTTCCAATTATGTATTGTTGCTTTGTCTGTCATGACTTGATGTAGTTCGGATCACGGGTTCGGTTTCAGCAGGTAGCTTTCAGGTTGAACTATATGGATTGGCTTGACAAGCTTGGTCCTATTCCTTCATCACTCATCAGCAAGCTTGGTTGAACGATGTGAATTGGTTTGGGCGTTTGGCAAGCTTTCGGATTTCCCTTCACTAGTAGACATTTAATATTTTAATAGACTTAATTTTGTGGGGGGTTCTTTGCTGTTTTGGTTATTCTTTTTAGGTTTGATCTAATATTGGGGTTCATTAACCTATGCTAAGAGGTTCCATCAGCCCAGTTGGTCCATGATGATCATTAGTGCCTTATCAAGCTTGGTTTTATTCCTTCTAAAAAATTTTATCCATGATTTTTATTGTGATTTCCCAAAATTTTCCACTCTTTTACTATATATATGATATATAATTTATTGAAATTGTATCTTCCCTTATATTTATTCTTCTGCATCTTTGCAGGTCTAGATGTATTGTGTTAGACGGGTCAGTTCTGGACACATATTCCATTCATGAAAATTTTGGTTTGGTTGTGCTTTGCCCTTCACTAGTAGACATTAGCATTTGTTCACTACTGTTTTGGGGTCTGTTTGCTCCTGATGTTTTTTTTCTAGGTTTATTCGAACATATTGGTTGATTAACCTAATTTCTAGTGGTGGCATATAGTCGTATGATGATTCATTAGTGCCCTGCCTTATTTATCCAATGAATTCAGTTTGATGCATCAATGCCTGGTTATCTCTTATCAATCAAATAATCAGTTCATTTGTATTTAAATATTTTTTCTTTTACCATATTCATGATTAATGATTAATGATCAGGTTCTTTTCTCTCTTTATGTTCTTTCGTGGTCTAGTTCAGCTTGGAGGGTGCACAATTAATTGCCAGGGGTTATTGACTTGTTCGGTTTGGAAGTCTTTGTCAAGCTTCTTTACTGATTTTTCAATGCTCTCATTCTTCCTCATTCTCCCCAATTTTGATGAATTTTGTAATATTGTGGCTCATAGGTTAGCAAGAGGTCTTACCTAGGGATATGAGCTAGAGCCCAGAGGGTGCCACTGAGATCAGCCATGATAGTCTTCTAATGATCATCATTACAACATTCTATCTGGAAAAATATTTATCCGATAAGTTTGGTTAATACTCTATGTTCTCTTTCATGCTTGCATTGTTGAATTTTTGGATGTTTTCAGTTCCCTAAAATTTCTCCCTTTTTTTATGTGAACATTTTTCTTGTTTCGCCACCCCACTAATAGGCGCTTTTCTATAATTACATATATATGAATTTAATATTATATAGGATTCTCAGTTCTTTGCATGCTTCTAGGTTTGCTCTAGCTTGGAGTACATGATGGATGAGGGACTTCAAGAGTAAGGAAAATTTGAAGTATTAATTCTTGGTTTTTATAGATGGTTCCCTGTTTCTATTGTGTGGTCTAGGGTATTGAGCAAGGAACTTCCAGTGGAGGGTAGGTTTGACATATTCCACTTCCAGGAATCTAACTACTTCCAAGTTTTGTGATTTGATTTTAATGCCATGTTATTGAGGTTTATGGCTGCTAAACTCTAGTCTGGTTTGAGACATCCTTTGGTAATGTCCTATTTGAGTTTGACTTATTTGGTGCTAGAGTCCAGTTGTTTATTTCTATGCATCCATCCTATTGAGAAACTATTTCCTTAGATTACCTTTGTTTCATTCTTTGTTGAGTCTCATGATTAATTTTGCCATTTATATTGCCTGAAGGCATAATCCTTATACAGAGAACCAAACTGTTGAGAGTTAAAATGTGACTCTGATGACTAACACAACCTCTTGCCTCTGTATTCGAAGTATATTGTGCATGCTGAGTTTGGATTATTAAACATGAATCAATTCTGGTATACTTCATATGTGGTTTTTTCTTCTCCCAATATTGCGGGTAAATATACTGGAGTTAGCAATGGATGCTCTTTGTGGCATCTGAATTCGTCATCTGAGTTGAAGGATCCTTTCCTGTTACTATGTTCTTTGACAATAGGGTTGTAATTTGAGCTGATGAACAACTTTTTCTGTTACAGTTTGTGAAGAACATGGAGATGTATCTTTATTTCTAGCATCTAAATTGGTTTATTGGATGTCCTTTCTTTTTAGCATCTGAATCCATGGAGGAGCTCTTTCCCGTAAGGCATTCCCCTGTCTCTATTATGTGCTGTAGTTTGTTCACCAAGGAACTTCTAACAAAGAGTAGGTTTGACATAATCCCCCTTTCAGGAATGTAATCACATCGGACGCTAAGTATTGGGATTTTATTTTATTGCCATGTTATTGATGTTTATGGATGCTAAATTCTGGTTTCATCGGAGACATCTTTGGAAATCTGCTGCCTGACCCTGCAGGATGTCCGATTTGATTTATGACCTACCGGGTGCTAGTCCAATAATTAATTTTTACTATGCATGTTATTGAGGTAAAATTTTCCTTAGATTGCCAACCCTTATTTCATTGAGTCTCATGATTAATTTGCCACTTACAATGTCTGGAGACAATACAGAGTAACCAACTACTGGGTGTTTAATAGTTACCGATGATTAACGTGTCCTCTTGCCTGGGTACTTTGTCTGAAGCTTGTTATTGGGAGCACGTATGTGCCTTTTTCGCTCAATACTTGTGGTAGATATGCTGCTGGAGTTAGCAATGGATATTCTTTCTTTCCAACCATTTGAGTATTCTTAATTGATCTGTGAGATTTGTCATTGCACTTTGGGAAAAAAATGCAGGATTTAGCAGTGGATGCTCTGTGCAATTTGAGTTGATGGGGCAGGATTTAGCACTGCTGACAATGGATTGTTGTGTGTGCTGATTAAGTTCTTTACTTAGGAGTGGTTTTTTGTACAGCATGTTGGCACTTCTGTGGATTTTTTTCACTTGTTCTCTGCCCTCCTATTTGAAGACTGTTTTCTAGAGAAATGTTTTGCCTTTATGAAGACTGCTTTCCCTGATAATTTGAAGTACAAAGATAGCTTTAGTTAATTGATGATTGCCTGTCAACAAGCTTTAAGTTGTTTATGATTTCTCCTTGTGAAGATGCTCTTAAAGAGAGCTTGAAAAACTTCATTGATTTTTGAAAGGAACATCAAAGATATAGACCCTTTCATGTCTACTAGAAGTGGTTGTTCTTACCCTCCTACCTGGACTGCTTTTAGAGGATGATCTCTCTTTTGTGAAGGCTTCTTTTGCTGATCTTTGAAGTTCAAATATAGCGCAACTTTAATGACATCTCCTTGTTAAGATGTTTTTCTGGAGTTTTAGAAAAATTTCATTGATTTGGGGTAACGCACCATATAGTTAAATCTTCCTTACTGGATAATATGTCTAGTCACTTCCAAGGGGTCATTGAATATTCATTTTGGGTGGTTCATGAAAGAGCCATGTGATGATTGCTAGTTTTGTTCACAACTCTGTTTCTAGTGCTGCTGCTCTCTTAAGCTTTTGTAGTTTTGCTCAGATGATGAAATAAGATTGTATATATGTTTGCTCCTAAGTTGTCGACATTTTGTTTGATATTTATATGGGAATCGGAATGCATTTTTGAACTTTTTATTGGTAAATATGTTTTTCATGCTAGTCTTGCACTCTGTTTACTCTTTTGTATTGGTTCATAATTGAGTTATCTTGTAGACATACAAGTACTGAATTTCACGTTTAGCAATAGTGGAAAATCTTTTTGTTTTAGTGTTCAATATGTCACACACATAGGTTGCTTTCATTACCAGTTTATTTGAGTGCTTTGGTTGTTGATTGTGGTCCTTCTGGATAAATAAATATTTCTCCATTTTGAATTTAGATTTATAGGCGACTTCATAGTAGTTCACTAAAAATGTTTGTTTGTTTGTTTGTTTTTTTTTTTTTTTTTTTTTTTGACTCTTTGGATCTTATTCAGTCACAATTATTTATTATTAATACCTTCATTTTTTGTTTTCAATTTTTATAGCGTCTTTATGTTTATCCATACCCACTTCTCATTGCTCTTAAGAAGTAAATATTCGAAAAATATTTTACTGTTGTTACTTCTCAAAAAAAAAATAAATAAAAAAATTGAAGCAAGCTTTTAAACAACATCAATTTATTATATACGTAAAGATGAAAAGGAAGCTAAGGTTTTTGTTTTCACTTGTTAAATATTTTTTCGGTCAGTAAGTTTTAATTGATGAATGTTGAATTTGGTAAGGTTTACATTATTTTATGTTAGTACTATTTTGTATAAGCTGGAGATGCATATTAATTAGTTCTGTTTTTTTTTTTTAGTGTTAATTTGATTTTGCTTTTTAACTCCACCTGTGAAAGCAGCCGGTTCCAAGCCCGGATAAAGGGGGAGGGGAAAGCTAGGCCGCATTTAATTCAAGTTTTTAAAATTCTTACAGTTAGGCTATGTAATTGAAAAAAGAATTATTTCTTCTCAGTTACAAAATATTGTTAACATTAACAACTGCTCTACCGTGGAAAATGCGATGAGCATACTGTTGCACACATTTTTGCCATCTTTTTGCATCCTATTCTATTACAGGTTAAACAATTAATCTTTATTACTAAAATTTAACAACAGCTAATAATATTTGTCTTTAATTAATTAAGATAAGATGAAATTTGTGTTAATTATATCAAGTGCCTTTTTTA